GACTAGAGAAATTGAGGAATATATATATATATATATATATAGATATATATATAGATATATATAGATATATATTTCCTGTTCAAATTCCAGCATTTTATATCACAATATTAAAGAGAAATCTGAATCCAATGGTGAACATATGCTAAATCTAAACATAGCAATAGAGGAAAACCAAGATGGCGGCATAGGTAAACACCGTAGATTGTTGCTTAGCCCAACCACTTCAAGAATACAACTAAAAGATGGAACGGACATCATCCAGAACCACAGGAAGGCTGGCTGAGTGGAAATTCTACAACTAGAAGGAAAGAGAAAGCATACCGAAACTCAGAGGAGCTGCTGTGCAGATGTAAAGTACAGAGGTACGGAGGCGCACGCGGAGAGGGCTGGTGACTGAGGACACGGTTGTCGTTTTCAATCGGTAGGGAGTCTCAAGCTCTGAGCTCCAGTTCCGGGCGAGTCTCTGGGGACCCAGACTCATATGGGAGAAACTGGACTGTCTGGCATCAGTCAGAACTCGAGGGCAGCTTTCTCTTGGAGGCGCTTGCAGCAATTGCCGGGACAATGAGAAGCAGGGCCTCTGAGGGAAGCCATAGCTACTTGCACCGCCCTCTTGATCCCCTGGGTTTCCGCCCCGCCCCCCAAGCTGTGCACCAGCTTTTGTATATGAAAGGGCTGGCCCTTTGCAATCTGAAAATTACCTAGCAAACTGGCAGCTGGCCCAAGGCCCCAGGGCAACTTGCATTGCTTCACAGCTGAGCTCCTGCTGGGTAGCCTTAGGAAGAGGCTAGATTAGCACCTCCTTAGAGATACAGGAGCCAGTGTGCCCGGTGGTCAGAGTGGGACCATCCAGAATGCAGCTCCTCGGATCCATAAAGGACACACTCAGGGGGCAGACTCAGTGAGCATCAAAGCCCCACTGAAGCAAGTCTTGCCCTGGAGGGGTGTCTCCAGCACAGAAGTTCTCCCACTGCAGACACAGCTGATTCTCACAGCCAATTGGCCTGCAGGTTAATTCCTCACAGTGATACCTACAACAATCAAGGCTTAACTACAACAAGACTAAGCACAAAGTCCACAAGTGGGTGCACCAAGAGTGTCCACCTCAGGCAATTGGGGACGCTGAGCCACTGGGCCCTATAGGACATCTAGCACAGAAAGCCACCCTATCAACACAGGGAAGCATAAAAAATGCGGAGACAAAGAAACAGGACACAAATGACAGAAATGGAGGAAAGCAAACTACTGGATATAGAGTTCAAAACCACACTTTTAAGGTTTTTCAAGAACTTTCTAGAAACAGCAGAGAAATTTAGTAAGACCCTCAAAAAGTTTGCTGAGACCGCCGATAAATGTAGTGAGACCCTCAAGAAATCTAGTGAGACCCTCGTAATTATGAAAAAGGACCAACTAGAAATTAAGCAGACACTGACTGAAATAAAGGATATTATGCAGAGTTCCAACAGCAGACTAGAGGATCGCAAGAATCAAGTCAAAGATTTGAAATACGAAGAAGCCAAAAATACCCAACCAGAAAATCAAAAAGAAAAAAGAATCCAAAAATACGAAGATAGTGTGAGGAGCCTCTGGGACAGCTTCAAGCATACCAACATCAGAATTATAGGGGTGCCAGAAGAAGAGAGAGAGCAAGATATTGAAAACCTATTTGAAGAAATAATGACAGAAAACTTCCCCTACCTGGTGAAAGAAATAGACTTACAAGTCCAGGAAGCCCAGAGAACCCCAAACAAAAGGAATCCAAAGAGGACCACACCAAGACACATCATCATTAAAATGCCAAGAGCAAAAGACAAAGAGAGAATCTTAAAAGCAGCAAGAGAAAGACAGTCAGTTACCTACAAGGGAGTACCCATACGACTGTCAGCTGATTTCTCACAGAAACCATGCAGGCCAGAAGAGAGTGGCAAGAAATATTCAAAGTGATGAACTTCAATAACCTACAACCAAGATTACTTTATCCAGGAAAGCTATCATTCAGAATTGAAGGCCAGATAAAGAGCTTCACAGATAAGGAAAAGCTAAAGGAGTTCATCACCACCAAACCAGTATTATATGAAATGCTGAAAGGTATCCTTTAAGAAGAGGAAGAAGAAGAAAAAGGTAAAGATACAAATTATGAACAACAAATATGCATCTATCAACAAGTGAATCTAAGAATCAAGTGAATAAATAATCTGATGAACAGAATGAACTGGTGATTATAATAGAATCAGGGACATAGAAAGGGAATGGACTGACTATTCTTGGGGGAGAAAGGGCTGTGGGGGATACGGGAAGAAACTGATCAAAAATCGTGCACCTATGGATGAGGACAGTGGGGGGGTGGTGAGGGCAGAGGGTGGGGTGGGAACTGGTGGAGGTGAGCTATGGGCGGAAAAAAGAGGAACAACTGTAATAATCTGAACAATAAAGATTTAATTAAAAAAATAAACATAGCAATACAATAAAATATACAGTAGGTTTGCACTTTAATGGAATTGAAAGGTTCTAGAAGCATGCATTTCTATTTTTGTTTGTGGACAGAGCTCAGGTTTTTACTCACTTTTTATTCCACATATTACAACCTACAGCAGAAACATTTATATCTACTATAATTCCCAATGGAGTGCTCACCATAAAAGTTTGAATTTTATTTTTTGGTAATACAACTCTTACCTATAACTTTTTGTATGTACAGTGTGTGTCATTCCTTAACTCTAATACTGCTATAGCTCTTCCGAACTGCATGCACTTTGCTCTGACATTTTATTCCTGTTTCATTTATCTGTCAAAATCAAATAAATAACATTATCGCTAGGCATTATATTACAAGATCTTTTACTCACCCAATACCATCATGCAATAGTCAATAAATATATTTTGAACTAAAAGTGGTTAATTAATAATGAACTTAGGAAATAAATTGCATAGATAATATTATTTCAGGAATGTTGTCTACTTCATATAACCTGATATGATTAGTTGTTCTCATTTTAATAATATATCTGAGATGAAAAATAAAAAAATTCAAAATAAATTGTATAAATTATTATAAAATACTAGAGGTCCAGTGCATAAAATTCATGCATGGGAGAGGGTATCCCTCAGCCCAGCCTACACCCTCTCCAATCTGGGACCCTTGAGGTAAGTCCAACTGCCTGTTTAGGACTGATCCCAGTGAGATTGGGCCTAAGCAGGCAGCTGGAAATCCCTCTCTCAATCCAGGACTGCTGGCTCCCAACTGCTCAACTGCCTGCCTGCCTGCCTGATCATCCCATAACCACTCCACTGGCAGCCTGATAAATGAGTTACTGCTCCCCTGCTGGCACGATCGCCCCCAACTGCCCTCCCATGCCAGTCGGATTGCCCCTAACTGCCCTCCCCTGCCAGCCTGGGCACCCTTAAGTGCCTTCCCCAAAGGCCTGGATCCCTAACTGCCCTCCCCTGCTGGCCTGATCGCCCACTACTGCGCTTCCCTGCAGGATTATGTGAAGGAAAAGAGACATAGAGAGTACAGAGATGACTAATATGTATTTTATCTCATGTCGCTGCTCTAGCATTCAAATTTACATCTTCCTATCTTCTTACACAGCTATTCCTTTGTCATTAAGGCCCTATAAAGTTTCTTTAAAGAAAGAAAGGAAAATTGTTGATTTGTGCCTCAGTGAGAGAGCTAGAAGTGAGAAAAGTGATTCTCACACATCCCAGGGGTAAAGTTTTAGTATCCTTATCACTAAAAGCCTAAGTGGTCATCACGCCGTGATGCCATCACGCCATCACAAGATGGCTGCGCACACAGGTGGGCAGGGCTGGGCTTGATGCTGTGAGCGTGGCACGGAGCCTGCCTGGGAGTCCTGCCTTCTCCAGGCTCCCAGGCAGGTCCCCCGGCCTCATGATGCGAGGCCTGCCTGGGGGTCTGGCAAGGTCTGCCTGGTAGTCCCCTGGCTTCGCACAGTGAGGCCTGACTGGGGATCTGGCCTCCTCCTGCCTCTGCACAGCGAGGCCTGCCTGGGGGTCATGGGGGTCCCGCCTCCCAGCTCCACACGGCACGGAGTCAAGACCCCCGGCTCCAGCCTACCTCTTTGGGGCAATTTATTGAGGAGCCCCTATGGGTGGGCAGAGCCTACCTCTTTGGGGCAATCAATCCTGGGGCTCCAGCACTGTGACAGGGCACAGGCCAGACTGGGAGACCCCCCACCCACCAAGGATGAATTTCATGCACTGGGCCTCTAGTTTTTATATAAACATCCTTGTTTCAATTACTGAAATACCTTTATTTTTCTCACCTCCACAATTTGTGTTATTTTTTCTATGCACTTAAAACTTGTAAAACAAAACTGCAATCAACTCTTTTAATTAATACAATAAAAGTAAAGGCAGTTAGTTGACATTCTAGAGGAAAACTAAATTTTGGAACTAAGTGTGCCCCTTTTTGCATATATGAATTTATCTTACCGAATTAGCTGATGAATCACCAATAAAAACAGGTGGAATGTCAACTTTCTTTAAGGCATCAACTTACTGTTGTTGAATTATAATTCTTCCTTGCTTTCAATGACCTTGCTTGATTTTAATACAATTAGTGATCATGAGCTGATAAAACATCAATAGTTATACCTTTGCTGCAAAGTTAATTCAATACCTATTATTTTTCAGACAACATGTTGGGCTCTGGAGATACAAAGATGAATATTCTTTTTTTTTTTTCTTGGTGAAAAATAAAATGTAGGCAATATTCTGGAATCTTAGAGAACAATGACAGCAACAACCTTTAATGACTCCACTGTGTTATTTCAAATATTTCAATACCTTGAACTGAGTTTTGAGTTAATTTGCTATTTAAAAATAAAAGCATAGTTTATTTTATGTGAGATACAAATATGATATCACTCATCCAGAATACTTGAGATTCCTAGCAATATTGGAGAAGAACCAAAATTAATGTCTGGAGTCTGTGATAAATAAATAAGAAACACATTTTAGGAAGCTACATTTTAAAGTCACAGAACAATCCATGCTGATAGGAATTTCCTTAATGCCACCCTAACATCTTTGTTTCTCAGGCAATATATCATGGGGTTCAACACTGGTATCACAATGGTGTAAAAGAGAGAAATAAATTTGTCCATCCCTGCTGAATAACTGGACTTTGGCCTCAAATATGAAATCATGCCTGATCCAAAGAATAAAGCCACAACCATGAGGTGGGAAGAGCAAGTGGAGAAGGCCTTGGCTTGCCCAGTTGCCGATGGCAGTGTCAGGATGGTGGAGATAACTTTCACATAAGATCCAAGAATCAACATGAAGGGAATAGTGACAAGTAGAACAGCAAGAACATAAATCAACATCTCTATCATAGAAGTGTCCCCACAGGCAAGCCTAACTATTGGTGGTATGTCACAGAAAAAGTGATTCAACTGGTGAGATCCACAGAAGGGTAGAGAGAAAATCTGGTAGGTGAGCCCTATGTGCACTGGAATTCCTGTCATCCAACAACCAGCTGCCAAATGGATACACAGTCTATTGTTCATGATGAGAGGGTAGAGTAATGGCTTGCAAATGGCAACATACCTGTCATATGCCATTGCAGTCAGAATAAAGCACTCAGTGCCTCCCAAGACCAGAAAGAAATACATTTGAGTAGCACAGGCCAGAAAGGAAATACTTCTATTTTGTCTACAAAGATCTATTAACAATCTGGGGACAGTGACTGACACATAACATATTTCCAAGGAAGAAAAGTTCCCAAGGAAAAAATACATGGGGTTCTGAAGGGAAGGATCAGCCTTGATTATCAGAACAACGAGGCTATTTCCCATCAGAATAATCACGTAGATGCTCAAAAACACCCCAAAAAGGAATCCTTGCAGATCGGGGACGTCAGAAAAGCCGAGCAGGATAAAACCCATCAATGCAGTGTGGTTTTCCCATGGGGGATTTTGTCCTGTAGATTCCATATATGAACAAAACACTCCCAGTGTAGAAGTCCCTTCAATTCACTGGTATGGGATAGCTAATCCAGGTTTTTGTTTGTTGGTTTTGTACTTTTGTTAATATATTTGAAATCCAATATCTTAAAATTCCGATATAGCAAAGCAGGAAACAATGTTAAACTTTATTTTTCCTGTTCATATTAACAATATGCACAAATGAAGAACACGGCAAAACAGACATGTCGGGTAGCTTAGTCTCAGAGTAAGAGCTTCTCGAGGTAACTTGTGAGAAATGTTTGTCCTTCCCGCCCAATCTGCTCTATGATTGCTTTTTATTTGCATTTTTGTCTGCCCAGCACCTGCTGGTTTACAATCTGTTTAGATGATTTTTTTCATCATGTTTGGTTTTATGTTTCCTCTGTGAACTTCATCTCAGATGACTGAAGGGCAAGGTCATCAGAAGACTCCAGTGCAATCCCAGTCCAGGCCAGCCTGGGCCACATCCTATCTGGTAAAGAGATGTAGAAACTCATCAGAAAAGTAAGAAATATAGCCTTGTTCCATCATCAAAAGATTCCACTTAAATATCCCAGAAACTTATATGAGTAATAATATATCATAGCAAGTCCTATGTTCATTTGAATTTTAGAATGTGAAATAAAGATATTAGAATTTGCTTTACTATGTCCTCAGCCCTGCCATGACCCCCAACAATCTTAACAGCTTTACTTATATTCTGAACTCTAGGTATACTTTAGAAGTAATCAGCTAACTTTAGGGCTGTATGGGATAATTAAACAAGGAAAAGGTAAAATAAAATGTGTAAGGAAATCTGATCATATGGTTCATCCCTGACACCAGACAAGATATAAAATTTGTTTTTGTACACCTTTTTATATCTTTAATTATGTATAAGCTCTTGAATACATAATTAATATATATTACAAATAGAGTATATATTATGTATAATGCATATTTAAAATATCTTTATTTAAATAACCATTAGAAAGCACAGTGCTAAATGCAGTGTAGGTTTAGCCTAATCAGCTCCTTAAATAATTAAGCATTTTAGGACAAATAAGTTCAGTCTTTCCTCCACTGTGTTGGATCCTAGACATCACTTTTATGATTTCCACCCAGCCTTCATTGGTGGTAAACCATGACCTTTTTCACAGCGAGACATACTCCAAGATCTACATTGTCATTAGTTTTGAAGTTTCTCTTCCATTTCCCAGACTCCAACTTCATCTTCTCTTCCTACAGAATACTTTCCACTTTCAAGACCCCCAGCTCCCCTTCCCTCTCACAAATCCTGAGCTGCCGAAACAACTTGAATTTCTACTCTTTGTTTCTTGCTTCTCAATAATCCTACATGCTTCCCTTCTTAGTTCAGTGAATTCTCTATCCTGACATTATTAATTTTTCACTTCATACCCTAAAGATAAAAGCTTTCTCCTACCTCTTCTCTACTATGGCTCAAAAATTTCAAGAGGAGGGATCAAGGACCTGGGGCATTTCAGATTCAAATACTATGTTCTACAAGCGGAGAATAAGTACACTCCCCCAAGTCTTCTCTTTCCATCTCTTTGCTTTTCTGGTCTGTCTTTTTTTTTTTTCCTCATCTTTTTTCACCTTTTGGTAGTTATTTCCTCATTTTAGATCTACTCAAAATTTTATATCACCTTATTTATATATGTTTTCTCTAAGAAGTTATACCTATGAAAAAGAACTGCAACAAAAAGAGAATTGAATTTTCAGTGACTCAGATAGGTTGGATAAATGTATCTAGAAGTCAATCAATATATATTTTGCAGCATATATTGTAATTTATTATGGGTAAATACTAAGTGTCAGAATGTGTTAAACACTAAGGATGCTAATGGTAAATAGTATGAGACAGTTTCTCTCTTTACAGAGCTTACAGACTAGTGGTGAAGTCAGACAGATTAGAAAAGTTATTACCCTAGAATGTGCAGCAGCTACATAGGAAGGAGCGTAAGGTGTTATGGGGATACCAGATGATTTCTTAAGGAAGTGACATTTACTCTGAGACGGGGTAAAATCTTACATATCACAGAAGCATTTTGTTATTTTTTACATTTAAGAAAATAGAATAAAACACTTTCCAGAAAAACTTCCCTCATATTATTATTTAGATTTGCATTCCAATAGCTAGCTGAATTCTTATATGGAGGAGTGGTTCATAAATATTTCTGTCGGGAAAATTTAACTAGATTCAAGTACTTGCTGACCAAAGAACTTGACATTAATTGACTTAAAATGGAAATTAGATATACTCTATTCTGATATGTCCTTATTTAAATTATCAGAGCTTAATTTTTCTTGCTTGAAAATATACACAGTAATAATAATGTGTGACTCAGGGAATTGTTTTCAGGGCTAAGTAATATAATCCATGTTAACTGCCTGCTTTAAAATAGGCAGTTTTGCTTCTATTAGGCATTGTTTTTATCATTATTAACATACTTATTAACATACTTATTGTATTTATCATTATTATTTTAACTTACATATTTTTTCCTCTCTTCTCAAACTTTTCTCATCTTTTATCCTGCCATGGAGTAGCCTTTTCTTAATCTAGAAGAGGAGAGAATGTATGGGAGGGTGTTTTGGCAGGAATACTAAGCTTACAAGTAGTATGCTGCCGGTGTGTGCCCATTCGATGCTGTGTGGGAACACACCCGCAGCAAAACCAAGGGGGGAACCACTGTCATTTTCTGGATTTTGTGTTTAGTTTTCTCTCTTCTGTGCCAGTTTCCTGTACTTAGAACACAACAGAGAAGTAGGCTTTGCTATAGAAATATAAGCAAAATTAAAAGGTCTAACTCAAATCCTATTTAATATAAGCATCCCCAGAGATAACCTTATTTTTTGAAATTGATCTTGTCTCTCCATTAGTAATTAATTGTATTTTGCAGTTGTAATATGGGAATGCCAGATCCTCCTTTACAAAGTTTTCTGTTTCAGCGAGAACTAACATAGCCATGGAGAATAGAGAAGCCTGATTATTTGGAACTTTTTTTTTTTAATTGTCAACAATTTTTGAACATTTTTTTATGTACTAATCACCTTGTTAATGACTTCACATGCATTATCTCATTTACTACATTTTGAATGAAGTAGGTACTGTTATTATTCACATTTGACATAGAGGCAGAGGTAGGGAGAAGTTAAGTAATGCCCAATATCAAGAAGCTGGTGTGAACTAGCTGACTTCAAACTCAACAGTGCAATGCCAGGGTCCATGTCCTTTCCCCCACCAATAAGTTTATTGAAAAATTTTGCATATAAGTGGATCCACACAGTTCAGACCTGTGTTGTTCAAGTTACAACTGCATATTAGATCTGTTTCATTTGAACAGTTTTGCTTTTTCTTCTTGAGCACTTTCCACAGCAGCTCTGCCTCCCACAAGCACCCTCTCACCCGGCCAGTGTATGCCCACAGTGTGAGATGCAGCACGGGTCCAGGGGACCGTGGTTACTCAGCAGCCTCCTGCCCACAACAGTGGCATCACTGGCCTGACCATCCATCCTACTATTATTGTAGAGTCTATATTTTTAATTAGAATTCAATTGGCTTCATAGAACATTCAATAGGAAATATTATTTTAAATTTAATGTCCTGAATAATATTAATAAATTTACAAAATATGAAACTTCACAACAGCAAGGTGATTTTATGTTCATTTTATATCTTTTACTATTATAAAAATGAAAGACTGAGTTGATTACTTATAGCTACCATCTACATTTTAATTTCAGGAGATTTAGCTCATAAATTAGTCTGATTGGAAGAAAGTATTTTCTTTGATGACTTAATTTTTGAGATGAAAAATAATGTACTACCATAAAATAAGCAGAATAAAATAATTACTGCTTACTTGTTTATATTATGGAGATATCACCATGTGTTGCTTCTTTTATAAAGATATGATCTATGTAATATAAATTTTTGGTTTAAATTATTTGAGTAACAAATTCAGCCATTCCTATTTTTCCTGAAGCTTATGCTTCACTTTAAAATTTATCAGTGTACCTTGGGTAAGAAGTAATAGCCTCTTATTCCTTGTGACGGCATCTTCTCTCCAGGACATGTTGCATAGTTAACTCAGTAATCTGTTTATCAGGTGGTAACTTAGAAAACAACCCAGGCTGCCTCTGGTTGGATTAGTGCTGCAGTGAGGACGCTCTCTGTGGAATACGGTCTGAGCAGCACCAGCCCCCTGGCCACTCCTCTTTACCTTCTCCCGTCCTCCCCATATTTGGAAAGTGGAGGCAATTCCCCATTGAGAAAGGTTGTATTAAGACCAATGAAGGTATTAAGCAAAGAAGATAAAGAAGATTCATGGACATAGACAACAGTTTGGTGATTGTCAGAGGGAAGGGGAGATGGGGAGAGGTAACAGAAGGTAAAGAGGGGATAAATAGTGATGGAAGGAGACTTGACTTGGGGTGATAAACACACAATACAATATACAGATGGTGTATTACAGAATTGCATACTTGAAACCCATAGATTTATTAACCAATGTCATTCCAATAAATTCAATTAAAAAAGACATTATTAGTCTTTAAGTTGGCCTTTATCTACAAATGAAATCCAAGGAGACTAAATTTGAAATTCTTAAAAACCATTTCTTAACCTCAAAGAATGTAACATGGAAATATTATAGATTCCATGCATCATCTAGGTTGTTTACATGCTAAGGCTCTCTGTTCATGACATGAATAGGATTTATCTGTAGTTACAGATATTAACATGAGGAAAAATGGATTTGGACAAGAGGATAGAGTATAATAAGTCTCAAGGTTTCTATATCAGAAAGTGAGGATGGGAAAAGGACCTTAAGAAGGGCTTTAAAATTAAGAGGAGAGAGAAGATAGAGTGACTTTTATTATTGCTGTAAATAGTTGGTAAGCTATGTAACATAATCACTTCATGCACCAGCTTTTCTCTATTTACTGAAACTTTCAATAAATAT